TTGTTTGTCTGTCTATATACGAGTATAATATATTTACATACAATCCAGTAGCTACAGTACAACAATTCTGCATCTGTGCAATTTCACATGTTTGTGATATAGTCCTTTGGTTGGAGTAAAGTGGCTACAAAACCACGCTAGGTGTGAGATTTTACAGGCATATATAATTTATAATGTTATAAATGAAAGGGTGGAGTGTAGATGTCATGTTTTGGAGGGGGGGCATTAGGCTTGGTTTGGGGGGGCCTGCGCCATTGCCCTTGGGGGGGCTGGGCACCCCTGCATGTCAACTTATCTTATCTGATATCTTATCCTAACTAATCATTTATGCAACCCAGCAGTACAGGCAGAGTTCGTCTATGTCTGCTGATTCCACAAGACCAATTAATTAACACTAGCTACAAAATTATAAGTTTATTATGTTCGTTTTGCTAGTTTTTGTATAATTCAACATTAAGTTCACAACTTTGTTAATTTTTTCTGTTCTTGATTATTTTATGTTGTAAACTTAATATTATAGTAAAGAGTGTAAAATTTGTACTATGTAGCAAATTTAACGGAATAAATCATTCATTCATTCATTCATCAGGCTGATGGGTTTTCATGATAGTTACCAATTAACAATGTAAATGTAAACAAAAAAAACTTAGCATATTTTTATAAACCAGGAATACTACCTAAATACAGAATAAAGTAAAATATCCCGCCGCAGCAAACCTGCAAGACTAAGCGAATTTCCATTTGCCTGATTGGATTTACACTAAAATGTCTCCTTAAAAATATCACATTTATTCCCTATTTTAATGGAATTGGATTAACGAGTACAGTACTTATGTTTGCTGCAACAGAATGGTAAAAGTTTTTTTTTTATGTTAATAGTTTAGAAATAATTAATGTATTTCCTAAATTTGATCAAAATATGTTCATACATACATATTTTAAGATGGAATTTTAAATTTAAAATTTTTTTTATTTTTTTATATTCCTCTAAACCATTAGGCGCATAACAACGCTTCAATATACTAAATTATTTGTTTTTAAGCTCTACAAAGTGGTTTGTAAAGAAATTGCTAAATTTTATGTTTTTTTGGTAAAAAACGGGAAAACCCAATTCTTACCCCATAAATCCCCCCATAAACCCCCGTTTCCATAGTCCAATCATGCTGGTTCGCGAACTCGTTCAAATGAATGTAGGTATACACGTTTTTATTAAATTTCATCAAAATCGGATCTTTTTTGCTCTAGTTATCATGCTAACGGACACGTATATATATAAACCCCATGGTCTATCAGCATGCCAAATTTCAGCCCAATCCGTCTAGTAGTTTATGCGTGATTGAACTTCAAACAAACAAACAAACAGGCAAACTTTCACATTTATAATATTAGTAAGATATCCGTATATATTATTTACCGACATATTGGTAGTGTTTATAACTTAGGTGGTTTTATTTATGCATGTAAACTAGCTGTTCTGAATTATATTAAATTTTAATCGACTACTTGATTCCCGTACGGAGGACTAGTTATATTAAAGATAAAAAAGTATATATAAACAAACTACAAACATTAAATCATTTGAAAATAAATTTTAAACTAATAAAAAGGTTAAATACCTGTAGTACTTGTCAGTGATCCTGGAATTTAGGTCAGCGACCCAGGTTTCGAACCTAAAGGTTCATTTTCAAGCTGAGTTTTAAGTTGAAAAACGCATTCCAAACACACAATCCTCTTCATTACTGTGAAGAGTCGTTATAACACACGAGACACGAACACGAAAACACTGAACTTTTAATAAAAATTGGCCAATTATAATACTGGTACGTTAGCGTGCATGGTGTAGCCGGCAAAAGATGAGTCATGACTGGGCATGCGTACGCGTCGATGAATTGTACAAAACACTGCTAATTTCGATAAGACAGGAATTTATAAAATTAAATGTATTGACTGTCCCAGCTATTCAAAGATTCAAAGAACACCTGCCTAAAAAATCAACAAAATCTGCCTTTGCTAACCATCTAATAGACACAAACCATAATTACACCGACATTAATACCAATCTGGACATATTACATTACTGCAGAAAAGGCATGCATATGAACACCATCGAAGAGTTTGAAATATACCAATCATCTAAAAACAGTCCTACCCATTTGCTCAATGAAAAATTATCCTTTGAGTCAAATTTAATTTACAATACTGCAATAGACATGATGGATGGCAGTGTCAATGTAAGGCGAGGATCTGACGACAACGGGAGTGGGAGGGGGCACATACGTCACGCTCCGACATCGACGCGTACGCATGCCCAGTCATGACTCATCTTTTGCCGACTACACCACGGACGCTAACGTACCAGTCCTATAATTGGCCAATTTTTGTTAAATGTTCAGTGTTTTCGTGTTCGTGTCTCGTGTGTTATAACGACTCTTCACAGTAATGAAGAGGATTGTGTGTTTGGAATGCGTTTTTTAACTTGGTAAACTCAGCTTGAAAATTGTTGAATATTGCAACCCAACTCATCTAGTCTGAATTAGTGATGGACCATCATATGTTTTTACAATTTACATATGCTGTTGTTTACTAAATATAATTCAGTGTTGTGCTTGTAAGAAAATAAAAGAGTTTATAACAATTTATTCTTTCAACTTTAATTTCACCAACAAAGGTTATGGGCCATTTGGAAAAATAAAATAATCATTTTACAGTATTCTGTGCTTAAAAATAAGTAAAATGAGTTTTGGCTATAGAATTGAACCTTTGAAACGAAATAATTATGACACTTGGAAAATTCAAGCTGAAGCTATATTAATCCAACAAAACCTAATGGAATATGTATCTGGGGAGAACAAATGTCCTGAGGATGAAGTTGGTAAATATGTCTGGATAGTTAAAGATCTTAAAGCAAAATCAGAACTAATATTGATAATTTCACCTAGTGAATTGAAATTAGTAAAAAACTGCAAAACTTCCAAAGAAGTATGGGATTGCCTGCAGAACAATTACCAAAGTTCTGGTCCTGCAAGGAAAGCCACATTATTAAAGCAGTTAATAGTTCATAAAATAAAGGATGGAGAAGATGCTAGGGATCATGTCAACAAATTTATGGAGATTGTTGACAAACTTCAAGAAATGGACATCATTATCAATTCAGACTTACCGGGTAAAAAAAAGAAGAAAATTTCCGGGTAGCAATTGAGTCTAGAGACTCTTTACCATCTCCTAATGATTTAAAAATATGGTTATACGTCCATTTGATTTAAAAGCAGTTGTTGATCATTTGGTTAAAAGCAGTTGATTTAAAAAAAAAATGAGGTTATAATAGCAGCAAAGTCACTATCACCATTCTAGTTCATAAGATTTAGATTGCTTAAAGCATACAACTCAATAAATAAATATATGGGAAACAAAAAACATTGAAACCTGAATAGCCAACAATATAAGACAAAGATACAGAAAATGCAATGACATAATTTGAAACCAAGCAGGCCTACATAGTGATAAAACATTAATGCAAACTGCAAACAACAATGCTTGTGGTTTTGTCAATTGAAAGATAAAATGTCCATAAAAAAGGGGTTAACTTACAAAATAAGACTGTAGATTATTTACGTGTTTAATATGAAACCATAAACAGTTTTATGGCACTAGGCACTGGCCGCGGCAAATTGTATCTTCAAGCCGAAAGTACAAGTAAGAAGTGGAATTTAACAGCCATTATAAAGCTATTATTTTCATGATAAACTAGGTTTGGGATCTAATAATAATTACCCTAGTAATAAAAAAAGAAGTTGTAAAGGAATAAAAGTGATACAACTTTTATGAGCTAGCTGCTGAGTCAACAGTTCTTGGAAGTACTTGACTTGACACTTGATTGTCTGATAAAATATTAATGGGTTTGAGATTGCTAATGGCATTTTTATTGCATAATTACTCTAGTAATAAATTATGAAAATGTAAACAAACATCTGATAAACCTTTTATGTGCTCCTAACCAACTAGTGATCAATAAAATTATGGCCCATTAATAATTTAAGGACATAGTCTGAAATTTAAGGACAATTCCCGTACATTTCATGGCCAGTAAAAATTTAAGTACAATTCCCGGTTTTCCCGGATTTCCCGGTTGGTAGACACCCTGCTCTGATCTCAGTAATATTTTAATATATAAATACAGAGTCCGAAAATATTAGATTCTTAGATTCCTGTGAATTGAATATCATCACTTCCCTGGCATTGCAATACATCAGGGATGTAACAACATAACGTTATTTCAGTGGATCTGTGGCCAGTTTAAATGAATTGGATTTATTGCGGTTTGAAAACGTTCTCTGCAGTCCACAATCGATTGTGCTGCCATCGGCCGGGACGTCATCGAACTAGTACTAAGTCGGCAAGCAAGGCCCTTTTGCAAGCTTTTACAAAAAAAATACAAAACTTAATGTTAACCATTGAAAAATAAATATTTTTCACACTCAATACACTAATGAATAAATGCTCTTTAATATGGCGTTTGAACTATAATTGTTCATAATGCCAGTCATTTTATATTTTAGCAGAAAGTATTGCTATTCCTTATAGGAAATGTAAGAAATTATTTATTTTTTATTCGGCTTATAATTAAACATTATGAATTTTATATTGTACAGTCTTAATCCTACATACATTTAGAATGTTTTGAGTGTGTGAAATAATTTTTGAAACACGGATAGACCAGAAAACGAGGAATGCGCTAATGTTAAAGTGACGGTCAGTGCCGGCAGCCGAGCTCTGTCCGACCGCCTCTTCACAGAAATTGCTGCATACTTGACATCACGTTTTATCTTCAAATAGTGTAGGCCTACTTACCAATCAGGTACCCTAAAATAATAGTGTTCTTTGTTCTTGGCAAAGGTGAATACTGTATTTACATGAATGCTTCACATACAGTAGCCTATGATAAAAGTGGTTACCTGTTTTAGAGTTTACATTTTTATAAAGTTTGATCTCTACATACTTACCACTGCTGCAAGACCTTTCAAAGAAGCAGTTACAAAGGAGTGGTGTTGCTTTATTTGTCCGCAAAAGAAACCTGCGATAAACTCAATTTCCTTCTCGAGTAAAAACTCTGGTTGAAGGGATTCAATAACGTTTGCCAGTATGTGTAAGCCGTAGTTATGTCTGTTTAGTTCTGTGCTGGTCAAAAAGTCCTTTAAAGACTCAACAATATCCAAGATTGTCCACTGGCTATTAATTATTCCTGTACAACAAAAGGCTTTAGCTAAATTAATGTTTTAACTAACTAAAAATGTAAAAAATAATTTTTAAACTTGCTTTTTACAGGACAGTATTGAGATTATTGCAAGTGTTTATTAGTATAGGCTTCTAAAAATTCAAAGAAATACGCATTATCGACACATACCATTAGCTTGTCAACAACCCCTATTATGAAAAAGCGGTGGGAGTAAGGCCAAGGCCCCGCTATCTAACTAATATTGTATTTTATGACTAAAATGACTAAAGTTGCAATAACTTTTCAACCCTAATTCTTACAGTATTGGGGCTTGAGCCATTTTATTTAGAGTTACACTGTCCATAACATAATAACTTTAAATCAGAATCGGTCAAGCTATTTTTTTTATCCGATTTTTCCATAATTTTAAGGGTTTTCATCGGAAAATCACATAGGGAATCAATAGCATGAACTGTAATTATTACAGAAATGGAAATGCCCAGTTTTGTTTAGGCCTACAGTTAAAAGGACTAGCATATAACTACTACATTTTAAAACCTTTTAAGCAGTTTTTAATCAAATTTTTCTGTTATTTTATGAGTTTTTATAAAAAAAAATCATCACTAAAAATACAAACAGGCCTAAACAAATGAACACCACCCCTGGAGATGGACCATGGTCTACCCAAACACCAAATTTAATCAAAATCGGATCATAGGTGCATAGGCGGCTCTAAGCCCCATAATCTGAGGGGCTAACCCAGGAATTAAGGGAAGAAATCTAGAAAACAAAATGTTCACGGGGAGGGGAAGAATGTCGGGAGCCTGCCGGGGGTCTGGGGTGTATGAAATACCGGTACTTTCCTGTTAAAGTATTCATTACTATCATCATTTTATTTTTTTATTCGATATATTGATGTTAACAAATTGAAACTTATTAGCTGACAACTTCGATAAATAGCCTAAATATTGTTCAGGATCAACAAAAACTAAAAAAAGATTAACTGAAATGAAACTGTTCTAAACTAACCAAACTTGCTGTAACATTTCAAAATTCTGTTTGATAGCTTATTCCCCATATGCCTTTTCTGTTATCAAACGGAATTTTGAAACGGTAACTTAACCCACGGCAAGTTTGGTTAGTTATACGTTAGTTTAGAATAGTTTCATTTCTTAACACGTTCGCTACCGCAATAATACAAATTTTTTCATTCAAATGGACCAGCGACGCACATATGCGACGTCTGGTTTCTACCCATAGACAGTCACATTAAAATAGACTGACGTCACATATTTATGTTCCAATGTTATCAAAATGCTTATATCTATGTAACAGTCTATTTGAAGGCACTGAATTCTCTGCGGTGGTCTACAGGGATGTCTGTCGCACAACTGCGTTGCTTAGTCTATGGATAAGATCATTGGTGACGTCATATGATAGTTGGAAATAGTAGTTTACGCAACGATTGCGTTAAGTGAGTCTTTACGACACGAGTAGAAAATTTAAGGCACGAGCCTTGGCTCGTGCCTTAAAAACTTCTACGAGTGTCGTAAAGACTATTAACGCGAGTTGCGTACACTACTTTACCTACGACCGTTTTTTAATTACCATCAATCTGGATTTAATTACTAACAATCACTACTGATAACTTTTTAGAGAGGTTATGTCGTGTATTGTCATTGCCACTGAAAGTGATGCAACGACTTGTTGTATAATCAGCTGATTTCCTGTAATTACGTGTTTGTTAAACTTCGTTAAATATTAGATTGCTAGCAGCATTCTTACCATAAATAATATTGTATCAGGTACAATTCGGCAAATATTTCATTTATTTTTGGACTTCCACCAACTTAATTAAGAATACGCGAGTATCAACATGAACAAGTCGGATCAACAATTAAATTGGTCAACTGATCAGCTGATCAGCTGATTAGTTGACGTTCGAAGCATTACAATTTTAATTCTTTTCTCTCAATACTTGAACCTCATTGGTCCGTTACCTGTGTGGATATGAGAAAACTATGCGGATATGAAATGAAACTATGCGGATATGAAAGTAAACAGCTGTAAAGTGAAACTTTTCAATTTTAAGAACTGGACTGAAATGGCTACTTTAAAAACGGTCGTAGGTAAAACAGTTTTTCACTTTGCTGCATCACTGTAACTTATGTATACGTATGCTGTATCTATGCTGCATTATCCCATGTACCTTTTATATTTGTTCAATTATATAAACTGTAATTGAAAAATCTGTTTTTTACTTACTGTGAAAGTAAACAAAAATGAACTGTCGCGTATATGCGGCGTACCGGTATGGGCTTTTTCAAGAAAAATATAATCATTTTCACTATTGTCTTCGCTGTAGACCGGGTGTCGCAAATATGCGACATTACAAAAGGTTATCAAAACTATAGGCCCCTAAAAAACAAGAATAGGGCCTATATTATTTACAAACAAGATTGTAGAGTACTTTTATTACAAAGTAAATGATCACTGTTTAACAGGTTTTCGCCCATTGTCTGCGTGTACTGCCAGTGACAGCCAGTCTATGTGTAAGATTAAATTGTAAACCTTGGTCCGTGGCAATGATCGCGGCGTCGCATATATGCGACGTTCGGTAGCGAACATAAGTTTAAAGGCAATTATTTTTGCCTAAACAAGAGTAACTTAGTTCTTATCCTATTCTCTAATACGAGCTATCTTAACTCAATAACTCGATTATTAAACCAAGGAACTTAGACATATTTGCTATGTCAGTTTGTCTCTTGTCTGTAATTTAAATGAGTTTGAAGATATTAAAAAACAGATGGAATATGGATTGTAAATTAAAACAAAAATAAAGAAATCACCGATAATAATGAATGTTTCCCTTAACAGTGGATTCAACATAAGAGGAATTACGGATCCTACCGGGTATTAGATTTCCTATCCACAGTGATCATACTTTAAGGACCTTGTAATGGGCTAACTTAATTTACAAATACCATGCAAAAACTTCAACCATCACCCATTTTCCGACCAAGGCAAAGATGACGTCGTGAAACTTGAGCTCGAGTCAAAAACTCACTTAACACCCTAGCCATGAAATACAATTTTTTTTTGTGTGTATATGTGTAAGGGTTGTGTAGGCTACAAAGCTAAGTAAACTAAGAGACCACACCCTGTGGTCCGATTTTGATAAAATTTGGTAAGTGGGTACTAATCTATGGTAAGCTATCTCCAGGGGTGGAAATTATTGCGATGAGGGAGACCAAGAGTTCTATAGTAATTTAGGTATATATCATTAGAAACTAGATTTTTACCTGAAAATAATGGTGTAAAAACTTTTCTGCTGACACAAAAACTGAATTTATTAAGATTTTTTGAAGTTTATTAAGTTACTGTAATGCCTCTTGTTGGCTGGTCTCTGTCGCCATTACTGTGAATTGACTGACTAGAGACTAGACTAACACAAACATAAACTATTGAAATTATAAGGATTGTCTAGGGAAGAAGAAGAAACCAAAGATGACAAAGAGTAAGTTTATACAAAGAGGTAGAGTTTATTATGAACTACTTTAGTTCTTATTTAGACATGTGAGGTTGATGGGTTGGGTGTTATGCGAACTCATTTTATTATTACCTTATTACCGTATCTTCATCTTTTACCCAAAAGGGATTGATGGCGTCAATTACTTTCAAAAATCAAAAATATACATTTAGACAAACTGACATAAATACAAAACATATATTTACAACATTGGCAATGTGGATAGGCGGATCAGTCAGAAGATTCTGGGAAAATGTCTTCAAAAAATTCTTTTAGGGAATAGTAGGCTCTTGACTTGAGTAGAGGGACCAGCTTCTTTAAGAAAAGCTTTTTCTCAAGCTGTTTGATAGAGTTGGGCAGCTTGTTATAGATTTGTATTGCTCCCGTGTTGTAACTCTTCTGGGATCTTGTCAGCCTAACCCTGGGCACATCAAGCAACCCGCGCTGCCTAGTATGGTGGTCATGAACCGCTGAACGAAGTTGAAAGTTGGCGTAGTTGTCATGGATCATCAGTGAGCATACGAGGATGTAATGGCTATAAACCGTGAATATCCCCAGCCTTGCAAAGATGGGTTTGCAATGGGCAAGGCGGTCACTAAATGTAATATGTCGTACAGCACGTTTCTGGATCACTAATATGTCCTCAACATCAACGGCATGACCCCAAAGTAGTAGGCCATAGCTCACATGACAGTGGAACATGGCATGGTAGATGTTAAGCAGGTACTGTTCAGTAATAAAATTTCGCAGCTTGAGCAGAAGACAGCACACCCTAGAAAGTTTGCTGCAAACGTTGCCAATGTGATTGTTCCACGCCAATTTCCTGTCCAGATGGAATCCAAGTAGCTTAACTGGTTCATTAGGTGGGGCATTTCTTGCCAGACTGCAGACAAGTGTCTGGGTTTTTTCCTGGTTGAGCTGAAACCCATTTCCTTCGAACCAGCGGGATGCTACGGAGAGATGTTTGTTGGCATCTGCAGTGGACAGCTCAACTTGGGGACCCCGTGACACCAGGGTTGTGTCGTCAGCAAAAAGCACCACCCCTCCATCTCTATCAAGGTCATTAATCATTACCAGGAACAACAACGGACCTACGATCGATCCCTGAGGGACACCGTACCTGACACTCTTGGGCTTGGATGTTGCGCCCTCCACAGAGACAACCTGATGCCTTCCAGCCAGATAGGAGTCAATCGTCTTTAGTGCCACACTGTCCACTCCCAAACTTCTCAATTTCCCATGCAGAAGATTGTGGTTAACACAATCGAAGGCCCGACTCAAGTCACACATTGTGAGAGTCACCGTGTCACCAGCCTCGAATGCTTCACCAACCAAGTCAGTCAATTTCTTAATCGCACCAGTGGTGGACCTCCCTTTTCTAAAACCATACTGCCCATCTGATATTAAGCTGTTCATTTCCAAATACTGTGTCAGTTGGGCTGATATTATGGCTTCAATAACTTTCCCCAGAACAGGCACTATGGAGACAGGCCTGTAACTGGCAAGAGATTCTCGATCGCCCTTTTTGTAGACTGGCACAGTCCTTGAGGTCTTAAGGCATTGGGGGAAAATACCATTTTCCAAGGAATCATTAATAACAGTGGCCAGAGGGGCTGATATGACATCAATAATGTTCTTTAGCCAAGATGCAGACATTCCATAAAAATCTGGGCTGTTAGAGTTCTTAAATTTTGCCACAATGCGCAAAATCTCTGCTGAAGAGGTAGGTTGCCAATGATGCAGGGTAGAAGTATGCAAGTCACTTCCGGCCTCCTGCTGGATGTTTCTAACAGGCCCTAGGCTAGTCACAATGTTGTTCACAGACTCAATAAAAAAATCGTTAAAATCATCAGGGCTGGAAGGTAGCTTGTAGGGCACATGACAGCTGGTAGTTGACCTCACCACATCCCATGCAGCCTTGCATTGGTTTTTCGCTGATTTAATCATATTCACATTAGCTTCTTTTTTAGCCTCGATAATGCGTGTTTTATAGGCCCGCTTCATGTTAAGGTAACATTTTCTGTCACTGTCAGATTTGGACAACATATACCTATCTTTCAAGGCAAGCATGGAACACTTAAACTTGGCTAGCTCTGGCGTAAACCAATCGGAATTTGCACTTATCCTACCCTGACTTGGTTTTTTGGGTTTTGACATTGGCTTAGCTGACCTCACAATAGAAGGGAAAAACACATCAAAAACAGACCTTAGCTTTAAAAAAAATGCTTCAAAGCTGCATGAGCCACCAGGAGAAGTATCTGACCACGAGATGTTACCAAGGGCTACTCTGAATAAATCCAACTTATCAATATCTATCCTTCTAGCATAGAATGTATAGTTAGCACGCCAAGAAAAAAAGGGACTTACCCGTGCCTCAGAAGTGGACCACCTTAGAAGTACAGCCGAGTGATCGGCAACAAATGGTTCTACCACCGTGCTGTTGTATTCCCAGGTATTCAGGTTGACTGCAATATTATCCAGGCAGGAACGCTCTCTTGTAGGCTGAGATATGGTTGGGTAGAGACCATATGCCTTCAACAGATTTAGTAATATGGGTCGTTCTGGAGTTTCACCGATGAAGTTGACGTTGAAATCTCCCAATACGATTATCTTGGCAGCTTTACCCTCCAAAAAGGCTAGGCAGTTTTCAAGATGTTCACAAAAAACTTTAAAATTTCCACTTGGGGAGAAATATACACAGACGACAATGACATCAAGGCTAGCAACATGGATAGCCGCAAGTTCACAATTAAAATCGGAGCAATACTCTTCTACATTTAACACAGCGAATTCCAATCTTGGATCAACATATAGGGCGACTCCACCACATTTGGCATTCCTCCTACAGTACACACTAGCCAGACTAAGATTTGCAACTGATTTATAGAAGTCCACCTCTTCTGAGACAAGCCAGTGTTCACAAATCCCAAGAATGTTTATGTTTTCATCTTCAACAAAAATAGATAACAAGGATTCCTTTCCACGAATGCTTTGCACATTCAGCACCCCAATTACACATATACAATTATTTACAATTCTGTCCAACTCTTTTCCTGGCCTATCCACTTCCTTAGGCCTTTGCTCCATTAGGCCTATGTCTTCTTTGAAAAGTAGATAGTCCGGCCTAAAAAAGAGGCAGGAGCACCCCTAACATCAGAATCACGCTTGAAAGGAATAAAAGGCCTCACAAGAACACCATTTGGCCAAAAGTCTGGTTTCAACAGTGTGTCAGCACAGCTTACCGGGACACCCACTTTAAACGATTTATATGACTTGAATCTGGCATTCAGCTCGGTGCACTCTATGTTATTTATTCCTTTATCAACAAGGAATCTCTTCAAGATGTCCTTTGTGGTGCTAGGAGAGACTCTAGACACGAAGAGTAGGCTTTGTTTACAAGCTGATTTCAATTCATAGTTTCTGTCACAAATACCAATTATGGGTTCACTCTTGTTCGCTCGCTTCGTCAAATCACGTTCACGTTTATTTGATTCTTCTTCCACACAAGTATTTCGTACTGGTTTCGATTGTTTCGAACACACAGCCATAGAGTAGGTTTTTGCCGGAGTTACAATATTCGTCTGCTGGGGACTATCACAGATCCTAGCTGATATTCCGCTACCATGATTATTCAGTTTGCCTATTTCTATTTCATTTCCCTTATTCTCCTTCTCCATGAGAGCAGATGATTTTTGGTTAGTTATCCCTGGCATCACTGCCACCTGGGTTTCGTCTTTATTTAATGCAGCCAATGAGGAGTGAAGTGGCGACGTTACGTCAGAGGTATCTGAGGAGCATCTGGGAGTCTGAACCTGAGTCAAGTCATAACTTCTTGTGACTGTATTAAGTGTTTTGAAGTTAGGTTAGATTAGGAAGGTAAAGTTTAGCTTACAATGAATCGAGTAGTTGATTTATATTATTTCCAGACTGTTTAAGCACTTTGTAAAAAGTACCCAATTATAATACATACGGTACCGTAGTGAATAATAATTTGAAAATGCGCAGCTCGATTCATTGTAACCTTAACTTTAACTTCCCTAATCTAACCTACCTTCAAAGGACTTAACTTAATACAGTGACGAGTCCACATAACATCCAACCTACCAACCTCACACGTCTTTTTCAACTTATAAAACAAATTTTAAACTGCCCAAGAAGTTTGGTTGGGTTAGGTTAGGTTAGAACAGTGTCAATTTGTTGTTTATTAATTTGATTAAAACTGCCACTACACTAAGTAGGCTATTATCCTTATGGGACATAACGGTTACATGGTCAAAACCTAAGCTAGGCCTAAGCCATTTGGTTACGGTAAGTGAAGAGAAGAACTAGGAATGAATTCTTTCTTCAATTTTAATAATCCAGTCCCCAGATCCAGATTAGGCTAAATATGTCCGACCTAGAGGTGTTTATTAATGTTAATTAATTTTGATCAAATAATACATATAAGTTATAGCCTAGTTACATTAAAATGGCATAGGCTATAATCCATCAATAAATGTGAATTGTGTTATTAACTTTGATTTTACAGTGTAAACATTGTAGTGCAGATTCAATATTCCTAATAAAAAATTAAAATAAACTTTAAAAAAATTGTAGTAAATTCAGTTTTTGTGGCAGCAGAAAATTTTTTGCACCATTGTTTTCAGGTAGAAATCTAGTTTCTAATGATATAAACGGTAACTTACTATAGTAGGTACTCTTGGTCACCCTCAAAGCAATAATTACCACTTCCATATCTGTTGGCACAGACAACCGAATGAAAATGTCCATCGATATATCGATTATTCGATTGTTCGGTTAGTTAGGTAAGGTTAACCTAACTATATATATATCAAATTAAACAATCAAATAATCAATATTACTCATTCGGTTGTTTGTGCCAACAGATAAGGAAGTGTACCCCAGTACCTAAAATAATATTTAAATTAAAACTAGGCCTAGGCCCAGGCCTATAGAGCGCAGGGCCAGATAAGATTTTTTATGTTCTTTTAAATTTAGGTTTGGATGCATTGGAATTTTCTGAAAAAAATATAGGCTAATAAAATGTTGTCAGTTTGTTGATTTTATAACCCCTAGGTAGATCGGACTCACCTGAACTCAGACCCTGACAGAAAGTGTTAGAGGAACTGTCGTGTTCTTTTTCATTGTAAAGCTGTTCAAGCTCATTATTTATAAGAAGGCTCGGATTTTGCATCATTCAATATTAAAATTACGTATTCCGTAACGATTAAAATATACAAACTTCAGCTAGTAATGATTGAGAGACAAATTTTAAAGTATTTACCATTTTCTAATCTCTAACCTATAAACTCTTTTGTGTTTTGTCCCTTTTAGCATATATAAAAAAAACATTCCTTATCTATATACTTTTAGTTTTGTTTCAGCCAGGCCCCCGGCCATAGATAAAACTGCCCCGGCCAAGTTTGGGTCCAGTTCCCGCAAGGATCAAGGGACGCCCCGTGCGTGATGTGATGGTGGAGGCACGTTTCCCATATTCCAGCTTTCCAAAATTACTTTAGATTATCTGCATATTTCGACTTGACATGGGATAATGTATTAACATCATACAGTTCTTGAGATGGTACGGTGATATATATACAATGAATTGTAAAATCAAAATAACTATATTTTGGAAGAGCTCTATTTGTAAGCTAGGTAACACCTCTCTATCTCCACTTTTTGGGTAACAAGAAGCTCCATCCATACTAAATATTTGGTAACTTAGCCTTAAAAGATGTGATTTTGCATAGCCTATAGCGCTTGGTCTTTGTTATATTCGTACATTTTTACAAAATGTATTAAATATTTCATATTAACTTAAGTTATTTACATAATTTAAAGCACTAATTCGCTTAGATCCCCCCTGTGAACATTATGCTAAATTCCTTTCTACTTCCAACTCAGGTTATGACTTTCTAAAAAAAAAATTAAATTTAAAACTAAACTTTGTATTTTATATTTCAAAACTACAGTTATAACTTGCACTCGGTGAATAGCTCATTCAATAGCACTCTTTTGAATAAAATTGGCAACAGCCGGACCTTGGATGGGATGTTTAGCTTCAGTAACCAAAATTCAATGAAATTAGTTGAAAAGAAATATTTTACCCCACACTACAGTTTTAACGAGCTTCCCACGCAAGGATTTTGTCCAGAAAACAGGTGTTTGCCGCCAGCTTAATCAAATCAAATGGGATTTCATTACGTACTACTTGTAATAGTTCATTTCATTCATTCATTTTTTAGCTAGTTTCTTAAAATGTTAACTTTTGTTATTAATCACTCCTCAGAAAGGCTGGCCTGGTATTCATTTTCCTAATTTATACAATTTCATTTATGTTCAATTAACCATTAATAATATTCATTCCATAGCCTGTATATTTTTTGTACAAAGCACACAACTTAGTTAATTAAATAAGTGAGAGAATTGCAATACATCAAAATTTCTTATCATGTAATTTCAAAATTAGTCCTTAAGGAATCAAAATTCAAGAAGCAGTGAAACAGTGATCCATGTGTTCAACAATAGACCTATGTGAACATTGATATTGGGAAGAAAAAGGAAGCCATAGTTGAAAGTTGAAACTGTTCAAAGAAGGAGTCCAGATTTAATCTAAGTTAAATTAATCAATATCAACAAGAAAACCAGTTTATATTCAAGTTATATTACAGTCAACCTCAAGAGGACGAACTCCAACATTATTTTTCAAACATTTAATATAAACTTTTCTTTTAAACTCTTTTAAATTCAGTGCTAATTGGCTAACCTTTTGGACAACCTCAAAATTACATATTTATATATTATATAAATATATTAACATATATACAAATTTTAACGAATGGTGTTTTTGGCCTCTGGGGACATCAAAATGAAAAAGTAAATCGGTCTCGGATCTAGGTCTTACCATACCACCTCCTGTAATAACTACTTCCCAATAGGGAAATTTGCTAAAACTAACATTTTGAAACGAACGAACTATTATCGACTTTATCGATGTAGAAATGAACAAATCAGAAGCTAGTACCTGGGGACCGAGCTTTGCTCGGGTAAAATCATTAGTTTACTATGAAAGCAGTCTTAGTATTGCAGATACATTAATCCATTCCTAAACTCCACACTGCTTGCCTTTACTACTTCCTTCGCCACTTCCTACATCGTGGGCCTGTTTCCTTCCCTTCCCATAGCATTTTAAGATTGTAGATACCTTAATTTAATCGTCATAAACAGTTCCCGCACTCCGGACTACTCGTCATTACTACTTCCTTCACCCCTTCCTACATCGTGGGCCTGTTTCCTTCCCTTCTCATAGCATTTTCAGATTGTAGATACCTTAATTTAATCGTCATAAACAGTTCCCACACTCTGGACTACTCGCCTTGACTACTTCCTTCACCACTTCATACGTCGCGGACCTGTTTCCCTCCCTCCCATAGCATTTTAAGATTGCAGATACCTTAATCTAATCGTCATAAACAGTTCCCAAACTACGGACTACTCGCCTTTACTACTTCCTTCACCACTTCCTACATCGTGGGCCTGTTTCCTTCCCTTCCCATAGCTTTTTAAGATTGTAGATACCTTAATTTAATCGTCATAAACAGTTCCCGCACTCCGGACTACTCGTCATTACTACTTCCTTCACAACTTCCTACATCGTGGGCCTGTTTCCTTCCCTTCCCATAGCTTTTTAAGATTGTAGATACCTTAATTTAATCGTCATAAACAGTTCCCACACTCCGGACTACTCACCTTGACTACTTCCTTCGCCACTTCCTACGTCGCAGACCTGTTTCCCTCCCTTCCCATAGCATTTTAAGATTGCAGATACCTTAATCTAATCTTCAAAAACAGTTCCTACAATCCAGACTACTCGCCTTGTCTACTTCCTTCACCACTTCCTACGTCACGGATCTGTTTCCCTCCCTTCCCTTGGCATTTTAAGATTGCAGGTACCTTAATTTAATCGTTATAAACAGTTCCCACACTCCGGACTACTCGCCTTTACTACTTCCTTCACCACTTCCTACATCGTGGGCCTGTTTCATTCCCTTCCCATAGCTTTTTAAGATTGTAGATACCTTAATTTAATCGTCATAAACAGTTCCCACACTCCGGACTACTCACCTTGACTACTTCCTTCGCCACTTCCTACGTCGCAGTCCTGTTTCCCTCCCTTCCCATAGCATTTTAAGATTGCAGATACCTTAATCTAATCTTCAAAAACAGTCCCTACAATCCAGACTACTCGCATTGTCTACTTCCTTCACCACTTCCTACGTCACGGACCTGTTTCCCTCCCTTCCCTTGGCATTTTAAGATTGCAGGTACCTTAATTTAATCGTTATAAACAGTTCCCACACTCCGGACTACTCGTCTTTACTACTTCCTTCACCACTTCCTACATCGTGGGCCTGTTTCATTCCCTTTCCATAGCATTTTCAGATTGTAGATACCTTAATTTAATCGTCATAAACAGTTCCCACACTCTGGACTACTCGCATTGACTACTTCCTTCACTACTTCCTACGTCGCAGACCTGTTTCCCTTCCCATAGCATTTTAAGATTTCATGATGGAATGGCCTGTCGGGGAAATAAATATGTGCACTCGAGTTTGAGCCTAAATATCTCTGAGATTAATTATCCGATTTTGTTGAAACAAAAATTAAATGTAAGCTTGTTTAAATATATTTTACGTGGTAACAATTTAAAAATTTTCCGTTTACCAGAAAAATTTATATAGTTGAAAGATCCTAAAAAGTACCGGTTTTTAAGGAACTCTGCACTAACACTGAAGTTTAAAAATTAATTGTAAACAAACCACTGAGCCAATCTTTCTGAAATTTTTATGGCTTATTGGTAGGTTTATTGTTAACATTTCCATGCATTTTAAAATTTTTACTCACAAAAGTTTTTATGCTGCTGTTAGTTTTTAAAACCTATGCTAACATCGTTAATAAGACGCTAAAAATTTCGTTCAAAATACCATCGTGTTTGTCGTGACACAAGAAATAACACCAATATGATAGATTTATAATGCGAACAAAGGCGTTTTTTAAACAGATTTATATTTGTAAACAAAAATTTCTCCCGCGACTGGCAGCGGGCCGCCTGGTGTGCGTACGATATTTCCCAGCCGGGCGGGGGCGCGGCGAATCTGCGACGTTGCCGATGTGTATCTGGCCAGTGGCCACCACACTGACATTGCATCGGTATTCACTCACGGCAAACAACTGTGTATATCAATATTTAGTTTGAAATTTACATAAATTTACTAACAATATATTCTAATTAACTAGTCATGAAACAAATACATTATAATAAGTTAACTATGGTGGTATGAAAAATTAATTTTGTATTACAAGCAACAAGCCAACTGTTTTGTGTTGATTGAGCTAGTTAAAAAATTATAACAGCTAAACGCCAAGTAAATATTTTCCACCAGTATTTATTTTATGGTTTCTTTAATTTGCCACTTTTAAATATACAACTGAGAGTATAAATCGGAGCGGTCATCACCCTTTCCGGGAAGTGTTGCGTTCAGCTGGAATATCCGATGAGTAATGGAATGTAAACATTAGCTCCCACCTTTCTTGAACTATGGTCGCTATGAGAGATGACTAACCAAGCTAACCAGTTCGTCTTAGATTTTTACACCGGTCGGTAACATCTATTCGAAAATGGCTCCTCGCCGGAATTTTTTCGATGGTGAAATACAGATGATAGTTAGTGCGATTTGTTTCTTTCATGCGGAAAAAGAAAAGTGCTGTGACAAACGTTATCCCGTGTATGATCATGTGGCCAATTGTTTTAACATCGGAACAAGGATAAATGTGGACCAATTTACCGTGGGAGCGATACGAAGGTACTTATATGATTTTTACGTGCAAAAAATGTTTCCAACGATCGAAAAATTAAGGCAGAAGCTAAATATTGATTTTCAAAGTTGTTTGCCGTGAGTGAATAGGCTGCCCATGCAATGTCAGTGTGGTGGCCACTGGCCAGGTACACATCGGCAACGTCGCAGATTCGCCGCGCTCCCGCCCGGCTGGGAAATATCGTACGCACACCAGGCGGCCCGCTGCCAGTCGCGGGAGAAATTTTTGTTTACAAATATAAATCTGTTTAAAAAACACCTTTGTTCGCATTATAAATCTATCATATTGGTGTTATTTCTTGTGTCACGACAAACACGATGGTATTTTGAACGAAATTTTTAGCGTCTTATTAACGATGTTAGCATAGGTTTTAAAAATTAACAGCAGCATAAAAACTATTGTGAGTAAAAATTTTAAAATGAATGGAAATGTTAACAATAAACCTACCAATAAGCCATAAAAATTTCAGAAAGATTGGCTCAGTGGTTTGTTTACAATTAATTTTTAAAGTTCAGTGTTAGTGCAGAGTTCCTTAAAAACCGGTACTTTTTAGGATCTTTCAACTATATAAATTTTTCTGGTAAACGGAAAATTTTTAAATTGTTACCACGTAAAATGTATTTAAACAAACTTACATTTAATTTTTGTTTCAACAAAATCTGATAATTCATCTCAGAGATATTTAGGCTCAAACTCGAGTGCACATATTTATTTCTCCGACAGATCGTCTGAATGGGGCGATGTCTACTTGTACCGGCGTCTAGTTGTACCTGCTGCATTTTGGTGACAGGCGTCTAGTTGTACCTAGGGACGTTGCGATACCACCAATCTTCCGATACTTGGTATCGATACCGTATCGAATCTGCGGTATCGATACCAGTAAAGTATCGAATAAAAAGTATCGATACCGTAAGTATCGAATGAGTACGGTATCGAATGAAAATGTATGCCTTTATCGTGAGTTGTAATGAAATTGGCAGTTAAAACCTATATAATTAGAAGAATAATACATTAGTTTAAGAGCAAGCACCATAAGAGATAAGAATAATTCTTATTGTTCTATATTAAAAAAATAATATCACTAAGAAATTTTTTTTACATTTTTGCACATGGGTTTCAGGTGTCTTTAACTAAAATTTTGTAAGGCCTGTATTATTAAAAGAACTTTTGAGGTTTTTGTAGATGCCCCATTCCATTTTAAAGTTATATATTTTACCATTAACATTTTATAAACATTTTCATTTTTAGATTAACATAGAGAATAATTTCTTAAAAATTGCAGCTAATGATGTTACTTTGAAATAAACAGTAGCCTATAACAGTAAACCAGATGTTGTAATAGCAAAAATTAGTTACTTCATGATTGATGTGTTTTGGAAAAATCAGACAACTCTCAGACAATGTAAAACGAACGTTTATTTTTACAACTTAAAAAGCTTATTAAAAAGTTGATGTACAGAAAATTTGTAGAATTGTGAATCAAAGTTAAGTGAGCCAAACAAAAACATCAAAAACAAAATGTAAAACATCTACAGGAACCACTCCTCATCTGACACACTATTTAAAAAAACAAGTTTGTCCAAAAACTTGGCTGATAAACGATTGCGTAGTTGGTTCACTGTGGAGCCAGCCTTGGAAAAAAGCCGCTCGCTGGGCACTGACGTAGCCATATGAAGTAAATTCTTTCTTGCTTGTTTATACAAGGCTGGAAAAACATTTTTCATGTCCTCCCATGCTTCCAATGGATGGGATTTTAAAGGCGTCACAGGATTTGAAAGGTACAAAGTTATCTCTGAAGAGTCAGCCTGTTTTCCTTTCTTGTTCTTCCCTTGGGCCAATTCTTTATGAGTTTGCCAAAAGTCAAACGCAGGATTAGTCTTTTCCTCTTCACTGGAATCTCCAGATACAGATGACTGAGAACTCTCTTCTTTGCAGACAGCTTTCAGTTTGGAAATGGCACTTCCACAAGCTGATGCATTTTGAAAATGAATATTTTTAAATCGAGGATCGAGGAGGGTGCTTATGGCTAGGCGATAATTTTGCTCAGCCTTTCCAAACCGTTTTGCCATTTCCGTCTCCAAGGTTTGTTTCACCGCTTTCATAGATGTACTAGTGGCATTGAATTTTCCTAACTGAGAAATTAGGCAGTTGATCATAGGAATGATTTTTGATACAGTTATGTATTTTTCCCCAGATATATCCGTAGTAGCAAACTCAAATGGTTTCAGGAGCGATGCAAGGTCTCGCAGATCTGAAATTTCCACCGCAGTTGGCATTTCTGGGCTGGTGTTATCATTTATTACAATCTGGCTCACTACTGACAAAAGCTCCAGAAAACGTTCGACCATGTAATAGGTCGAGTTCCATCTCGTTTTAACGTCGAGAATCATTTTCTTCACCTTTCCTTCTGGAACGTTACTTTCAATTTGAATTTTTCTCAATTTGTCCGAGTTGATGACACTGTTTTTGATGTACTTAACTACGGATCTTACTTTTGCTATTATTCCTACTACATCCGGATGGGAAACTGCTGCCATTGTAACCAAATTAAGGGTGTGGGCAAAGCAAGGCATCTGCTTATTAGGAAGAGCAATTTGAGCTGCTGCCACTATGTTTGAACCGTTATCAGTAACAATACTGATTACTTTCTCCTTCTCGATTTCCCAATCGGCTAAGATTTTTGTCAGGTTCTCACCAAGATATTCCGCTGTATGATTGGAATCTAACTGCTTACATGCCAGATCAATAGATATGATGCTGATACCATCTAAAAAATGGGCTGTGACTCCCAAGTATGATTTCTCAGCCATTGTCTCTGTCCAAACATCTGTTGAAAGACAAATATGCGTAGCTTTGTTTAACTTGGTTTTCAATCTACTGGAAACAGCTTCATATTTATTAATAAGCTGTTTTTTTAAGAAGTCAACTGAAGGGATCTTGAATGCTGGGGCCAGTTCATGCATGAGGTGTTTAAAACCCTCACCTTCAACCACAGCAAATGGACGGTTGTCCTTACAGATAAAATAAAGAATACTATTGACAGTTTTGGAGTAGCGAATGCCACCTACAGCAAAAGCACGGGCCTTGTTAAATGCTTCAGTTATTGGTGAAACTAAAGCCGCTTTATCAGCTTCTACGTTGACTGGACAGACTTCTATAGCCAAAGGATCGTTATAATCTAAGCTGGAATGTGATGTAGAAGCTAAAGAGGTTAAAGGTCTATTCACTAAGACGCTTCCTGTAGGCTTACCTTGTAATAGGCTTTGTTTGTCACTCTTTGATGCAGGTTCATCATCTTGGTTAACACTAACACTCTTATGGTTACTTTTCAAATGTTTTAATAAATTGCTTGTATTTCCACTAAACTTCACCTCTCTCAAACAAATCTTGCAAATGGCTGTTTTGGAATCTTTCTTCTGAAAGTGTTTCCACAGTTTACTTTTTGGAGGAGACATATTTTAATATTAATAATGAACACACTTAAACTTGTTATGTAACATAAAATCCTACACTGTGAATCACATTGAAACTAATAACTAAAAACCTCAAATAACAGTAAGCTGAAAACAATAACAACAGCAACCGGCACAGCGAAGCGGTAATATGACATGGACATGACGATGACAAATCGACTAAGCGTAGGCGGAGTGATATGTTACAGATGATGGTTATTGCTTTATAAGTAAACTCCACTTTAAATGGTATATTTAAATAAGGTTAGATTCAACAGCCTTATTTAATTTAAATCGATATGAGCCTTTGAAAGAAATCAACGTTTAAATTGGATAAAACATACATATTTATAAAATATAAATTAGAACTACTTTTTCGATACCGATACTGCATATTTTCTTCCGATACCGATAAAGTATCGCTTCATTCGATACCGATACCGATACCGCAAGTATCGAAAGAAAAGTATCGATACCTACTGGTATCGATAGTATCGCAACGTCCCTAGTTGTACCCCGTCCAAAGCTGTAGAGACAACTTGACGATGGTGCGGACGTCTAGTTGTCTCTACGTCTAGTTGTCTCTACGTCTAGTTGTACCTCTTAAAAATCTACAGGTACAACTAGTCGGGAACGTCACCGTCTACTTGTACCTCATACGTCTGCGTCTACTTGTACCTACGACTACTTGTACCTACGACTACTTGTACCTACGACTACTTGTACCTACGACTACTTGTACCTACGACTAGTTGTACCTACGCCTACTTGTACCTACGTCTAGTTGTACCTGCGGCTAGTTGTATCTCCCCTTCAACTTGTCACCGGTTTAAGAGATTAATTTTATTTCTTTAAAAATCATACAATCTTACAACAATTTATTATAAACAACTTGCTACAAAAGCCAGGAAAATTTGGCTTGTCTGCAGCTCATTGAGAAACCCCTGTTCTTGACAACAACGTACTTGTGTCCCTTGGTCAGTCCTTTTCCATATTACACTTTGGTTTTCCTTATTTCTTGTCAAGATCTGCTATCATTGTTTTTTCCACTTAAACTCTACTTCTTAGGTTTATACACAAAACTTTTATCATCTGACCACCAAACCCCACCAAATTTCGATTTAAAAGACACAGCAGACATAGCTCAGCACGATAATTCACCAACTTCTATGACCACTGCTCAAGACGAACTGACATCTTGCATATCTGGCATTTACTTATAAATACGGGAGGGATGGGGGTGAGATGTATTTCCACGAAACGTCCCCGGCGCCGGGAATGCAGTGTATGGCATATGTTTCTTTTGAATCTACCTTTCAGTAAACTAAGACAATTGTAAAACTGGAGCCTTACAGGGAGGGCTGGAACTGCACTCACGGTCAGTCCCTGGTCCTAATCCAACTACGGAACTGCACTCACGGTCACTTTGAGCCTTTCTGGAGGTACTGGAACTGCACTCACGGTCAGTTTTTAATTAGCCTATATCACATTGTGCAACACCATGATTGAATTGATTAAAACTTATTAAATTAGTTGAAATATATTGAAAAGTTTTGATTAAATTAATCTAAACGTCAAAAAATAAACTTACTACTGACATTGTAAAAAATACACATATATATGTGCACGGAAAATTCTAGCATAGTATTTACGATAACATGATAGGCTATATTCTTATTATAACGAAGCTTCTTTTGTAAAGGTTAGGTTAGGTTAGGTTAGGTTAGGTTAGGTTAGTTATTGTTGTATTTATTGGGACAGACACTAAAACGTGTATTAAATATAAGTATTGGATAAAGTAAGACAGAGGACGGAATAAACAGATGACTAAGGGGCTAGCAAAGCGTTCAGCCGTGAAAGACCGATTTTTGACCGTGAGTGCAGTTCCAAATGGCTTAGGCGGGCTACCCTTCCAACCCTTGTAAATTCCTTTGACCGTGAGTGCAGTTAGTTGTCAGCCAAATTACACATCCTTAACAAACAAAGTGTTTCATTTAAATAATATTACTAAGGGCCTGGTTATAGTTAGTAACTGGTGTTGAAATATTAAAACATTGTGCATACTCCTAAGCCAAGCCGAGATCAAACATCACAATGAATTCTAGGTCTAAACATTGACAACACATATAAAAATAAGTCACATAATAAGGAAAAGTAATGTAAAGGTATATCTTATAAAAATAAATTAGATTAAAAAAATAAATATAGCGTATTCCAAATACACATTAGTATATAGTATACACATTCACAATTCAACAAAGCTGGTTTAAAAACTAAATAGGCATATAATATTGCGCATAACCGAACCAGTCCCTAAAAAGTCCCTAAAAAGCTCAAATACAAAACAAATTATTATAATATTTAAACAAACTCAGAATCAAATTATCTATGTCAGGTTAGAAATCCCAGTACAATATATATTTTGTACAAAAACAGTTTGTTATTAGTCTTTCTTTGCTTTTGTTGACGTTATTTTTAATAAATAATTTATATTACTCCAGAGGTTTAACTCTACTACTAAAGGCAGCAAACATGTTTGTGAATAAATATTGGTTTACTAAGGTAGCTTTGGTCTTGTGTTTGATGATAATGATGATAAAAAGGCTTCCCTGATTGAAAGATTGGAAATCGTCTTCGTCAAAAATGAAAAGGCAAATAAAGGTGTGTTGAGATAAGCTTAGTTCTTGGTCAAAACCGCTAAATTAGCATCCCTACGAAGTTATTATTTCTACGTTTATGCTCCTTTTGGAAAGGTTTAACAAAATTAGTGTAAAGTAAAAGCATCCCATTGACCAAACGTATCGCTAGATTTGTTTCTGATCAACATAAAAACTACTATTAGCCTAGTGTAAGATTATGTGGTGGTATTCCTCCTAAAGGTGCGATTGATTTTAAATATTCTATCAAAAAGGGGTCTATTCAACGGCTGATTCCTAACTATTTTGCGACTGGTTAGGTTTCCATTACCCAGTTAAAAAACAATTAATTACTTTTCTTCAGAATCTTCGACATGCATATTTTTGGTTGGTTTTAAGAAACGGAAACTACCTCTAGGTTTTACTGTTATATATGAATGCTTCCTTTACCACCGTACATGCTGGGCTATATTATTTGAACCTTTTTTGCAGTACCTGGTTAAAATCTCCTCTAAAAAATTATGTGTTTCCGCCCATTGGAACTTGTCATAGTACTTACTTGATGATTAATGAACAAATATATTGCCTGTCCTGAACGAACCTATTTCATCTTTATTCCCAGGTTGATTTCCAAGAGTGGCCGTTGAGGTTTATCCCTTTATACAATAATTGATTAAACACCACAATAAATTAATCTAAAATTAAAATTGGTAAAATAAAATATAAAAAATTGAATAAATCTTGAACATATGTTTTGAAATTAAAACAAAGCAAAAGTTTTCCATTAAATCCTGAATCGTTTATTTTTTAGTCAATGTGGTTATTTCAATGATGTTAAACATTCCTTCAACACAAAAATAACCTTCAAGTTATAAGAAAAAAACTTCATTATCTTTTCAGCTATTCTAAGTTAAATTCCTTTGATTTGAGCCATCTCCGATGATTCTACTACTTATCACGTGTTTAACTAATTTACAAAAAAATACACAAGTTTGTAAATTGCACAGTTAAATAATGATTTCAACATTGTAAGACTAACTAAAAAGTCTGAATTATTATAAGTAAGGTTATTCGTGGTTTTATATTGTGTACAGTAGGCTACATTGCAGAATTGGCTGGCAAATAAGTAGTCCAAAGGTAATATATTTAATTATTACTAGAGGTTAAAATACCTTATAATCCGTCAGTGTGATCAAAAAGTCACACTGACGTATTATAAGGTATTTTAACCTCTAGTAATAATTTAGATATTGTGGGAGGAAAAAACAACAAAAATGAAGTAACATATTGCTTACTGGCTTGATGATAAATCACAATCAGCTGTATTGAAGTAAACAAAAATCAGCAGCAAATGACTTCCAATGCTATTCTTATGGAGAATATTTTACGTTATATCTAATTTTGTGTTAACATTTCACTATTTTTCCCGCCGTCACGGGATCAAGACCTTTAATTTGAGCCCTCTCCCGTCGTTCTACGATTTCCCAGTCTCTCACCACAATTTTGATGCAAAGAATCGGCTTACGTAATTAATATATAGATAGAATAGATAGAGTGTAGATGTAACAGTCGCTCATACATTACTAGACAAATTTTACTTAAGCCAAATTCAAGTCTGGAAATGTATGAAGCGGCCTTTTGGTCTTTCCAGTTGTATTCCTATATGCTGTTCTTACCATGTACATTCTTAGCGGCCACTATTTACATCAACGTTATTAGTAATGTACAATATTTACAGTTTCTTAATTACAATTAATTATTTATCGCTCAATTCTGTTAGGTTTGAAGGTTTAACTAACCTGTTTTACATAGCTAAATGTAGTAACCAGCCAACGCGGAATACAACGTCGCAATCCCTTGTTAAATATCTTTAACTGTAAAAGTTATAGTAACATATAGGCCTAAATACTATTTTTAACATACACAAATCTGGGTTTCAATCAATGTTGCTTCAGATAAAAACGTTGAGCTACCATTAAACATTATTAGTTTTAGGAGACACTTTATTTTGGATACGTTATGATTTCTGGTCGCTATCTTATGCTGGACCAAAGGATCGAAAGAATACGCAAACAATACCGGTATCATTACAATAGAGACATAGCTCCGTGTTTAAAGCGATATTATACCTCCACAAACTTGGGTAGTAACTATATTTAACTAAGTTTGTTAAGACCAAAAGAACTGACTAATGTAAATAGTTTTAATTTAGAAACTGTACTATTGTAGATTACTAATAACGTTAATTGTAATAGTAGCCGCTAAGTATTTACATAATCAGAACTGTAAGTATGAATAAAACCGTCAAGGCCGAAAGACCGCTTATACATTTCCATACGTGACAATTCTGTCTAGTGTATGAGCGGC